GTTACATTACCCAGGGAAAAATTCTTTGTCTGAAGGCTTATCTGGAAATCGTGGTGTCTTACGGGAAAATGGAGCATAGGCAGGCTGGCATTTCCTCTCTTTTGACCAAGATGGCTGATACATTGCTGGGCCAGGACTCACAGTCTGCAAGAGAGAGAATTTTAGTAGGGAAGAGTTTGCTCTGCAAATCATTCCTACATGCTCTGATCACTAGCCAGCTGGGCACTATGGACCTGCTGTTCATGCTTTGGCTACTCTGGTGACATAAAAAAATTAGAGCAAGAGAGCCACGAGTGGGGTGAAGGGTCTGGATGGGATGACTTAGGAGGAGCAGCTGAGGTCACTTGGATGGTTCAGCTTGGAGAAGAGGAGGCTGTGGGGTCACATTGCAGTCTGTGGCTTCCTCAGGAGGCAAGAGATGGGGCAGGTCCTGATCTCTTCACTCCTGTGACAAGTGACAGGGCTCAGGGAAATGGCAGGAAGCTGGGTCAGGGGAGGTTTAGGTTGTATATCAGGAAAAGGTTTTTCACCCAGAGGGTGGTTGAGCACTGGAACAAGCTCCCCAGGGAAGTGGTCACAGCACCAAGCCTGCCCAAGTTCAAGAAGTGTTTCTATAATGCTCTCAGGCAGATGGTGTGATTCTTAGGGTGCCCTACTCAGGGACAGGAGTTGGACTTGATGATCCTGATGAGTCCCTTCCAACTCAGCATATTCTATGACTCTAAATCAATTATGCACCCCTTACTCCTTATCCAGTGTGTCCTGTGTTGCTACGCCTGATAATACTGTTATTTTAGAGAAGATGGACCAGAAAACAGTGTGTTTGCTCAGTTGGTATAGCTGAGCTCTCTGATTTTGCCTCAGTCTGTTCATTAATGTGTGTGCCTGTGATACAAAGGAATGTGTATATACAAATGCATGTGTTGCCAGAGCTCATAGTTCCCACTAGACTGTATAAGGAGATCTGTAGCTACTCTATATATTAAGTTGGGGGCAGCCCCCAGCAAATGTAATAAAAAATTGGTAGCCTGTGGTGAGAACAGCCTGCAGTTCCTTGCAAAGCTGCAGCTCTGCTGCTCTAAAGGTGCTTTTCTTACCTGTGGCTGTAGCGTGGAACGCTGGGCTGTTCTTGCTCCTATGACATAGCCTTTCTTGCTTAGTGGTTTGTTTTCCAAAATGTATTTGAGGCTGCCTCTCTGTCATTCAAAAGCAGAAGTGTCATTACTGACATTTTTAATACACCATTTGCATCAGGGGAAGGGCAGAAGTACATCAACAGCAGACACTGTTCCTATTGATTCCTCTAATTTCTCAATAACATAGAGCTTTAGGGCAGCTGGAGCTTTATCAGGTACATTTGGAAAGGGAATTTATTTTTCTAGGAATACGTGGAGACATTGTAGAATGGGTTTGCAGGGCAGGTGGAGGGACTCCATGTCTGGCTGGCCATGGTCCTATTGCTCCTGTATCTTCTGTGAAGGAAAAGCTGAGCACAGAAACTGAACAACTTACCTTTTCACTCAGGTAACAGCCTGGTCCAAGCAAAGGGTTACCCCTGATGGCTACCAGCTGGATCCCCAGCCTGTCTGAGGGCTGGTGGAAAGGGAATATTTTCCGCTCTTGACATGACCCAAATGAGATCTTCTTCTGCATATCTGTGAGACCAGGAGAGAGAAATGCCACCAGAGTGATAAATCCATGTGGAGGTGACCACTTGCTGCTTTTTACCCTCCTTAGGTGTCTGCTGCTCTCTGCCTGTGGCTAACAGTCCCATTATCTCCCAGGTGGGAATTTCCCCTGACTCTGGATATTGGGGGGGGAGGTTAGGGAGGGTCAGCCCTTAGGATGCCTGTTCTCTCCTTCCACAAAGGCTTCTTTGTCCCCAGCCTGAGTAAGGAGCAGCCCAGCAAGGGGAAGGTTTCTGGGGAAGCCCCATGTCTCAAGGGAGCTGTGCAAGAAGGGAAGCCCCAGTACCCACAACCCTGGTGGGTGCAGGAACCTCTTGTGGCTCACCTCTCAGCTGCCGTGTTGCCATGCTGCCCTGCCAGACCTCAGGATGTGTGTGTACTCCAGTTGCTATGGACACAGAGCAGAGGGTGCTGGAGGGAAAGGTGGCAATGGCAGTGCCTCAGCGTGCAGGGAAAACAAGGGGGTTAATAATGTCCCTGTGGAATGTGATGTGCTGGCTCCGACTCAAAAGAACTGTTTTTTTCATACTCTTAAGTCAGCCAAGGAGATGCTGGGGTTGCAGAGTATAGTTTGTGCTGTCACAGCCCCTCTCTTTGATCCCTCTTCTGACACAGCCTGATCTACCCCATTTTCTGCTCTCTGGCTTTTCTCTGAGCCTGACTGCCAAGGTAAAATGAAAAATGCCATCCTGAAATTAAGTCCAGCTTGTGGATTCAGCCCCTTCCCTGAGCACAAGAGTGAGTATCATGAGAGAATCAGGGAGCATCAAAATATTAAAAGCAAGAGGAGTGGAAACAACAAGAGTTGTTGCATTTGCAGCTCATACATTTATTTAATAATTCATTTTCAAGCAGTTAGATCAGAGGGTCTCTTTGCTGGAAGAGCATTGGTAGCTTCATGGTGATTTGCAGCAGGAGCAGCTGGTATCAAAGACCTGGCCCTCCTTGCAGGTCTGCAGGTGGCTTTCACCATCACTGCACTTGTAGAAGTTCCTCTTGTTGGTTGGATCTGCATAGACACCATTGGCCTTCCCAGCACAGAAGTCAGCAAGAGTAGTCAACACTGTGGTGGTTGTGGCTTCTGTTGTAGGCCCATGTGTGTCACAGATAGGAAAAGTGCTAGAAATGGTTGTGGTTGGAGGAGCAGTTGTAGTGGTTGGAGGTCTGGTTGTAGCAGAAAGCTTCCCTGAAAGCCGTCTGGAAGGTGCACAATCTGAAAAAAAAGCAGGGAAGGGGCTTATTTTTGTGTTGGCAGCTTCAGCCCTCCCCTCCCTCCCTGAGAAGGGTTTGGTGGGGTTGTTTGAGAGGGAGAAAGCACCTACCTATCTGGATGTTGAGCAGCAGGAGCAGACCTTTCAGGGAAGAAGTGTGAGATTAGTCTTGGAGTTGAGCAATACAAAGCTCTCATGCATGACTGGACTTAACTCAATATAACCTGTACCCTAGGTCAGAGTCTCTGAGGGGAGTGCAGGCTGAGACAAAGAAGTTATGTTTCATCTAAAGCCTGATCTGAATTTGCTTGAGGTTGTAATTGCTTCTATACAAACACTCAACTAACCAGTGCTCAAGAAACCAGACTATTGTGTTTTTTCAAGAAAATAAAACAATACAAGGCAGAATTTGATATAGAAACAGGAAAAATATAAGTTCCCATTGCAGTATTTTGCTTTTTAGGGGTTTTGTAATAAAAAAGACCTTTTCAATTTCAACTAGCAAAGCATAAAATATCAACGCAAGTAATACTAGAAAATTTATCTGTACCTCTTGCAAGTAATTACTATATCTTTTTGCTTCCTTGACCTCCAGAAAAGCTCTGTGTCACCACCCAATATGGCAAAACTTCCCCAGATCTCATCAGAAAGGCAGAGAATGAAGTTCTGAAGCAAGACTTACCAGTAAGCAAAATGAGCTTGGCCATCTTTGCTTTGGAGGAGTCACAGGCAGCCTGGTTATGCTTATATACACTTCTCTTGTTTCCTGCCAGACTTGTATCAACAGAAGTGGACAAACATTGCAAAACCTGGTAAAGATCAGTATCAAAAATCGATACCGTTACAATGGGCCTCGGGGTGGCCCTTACAAAGGGTGAATTGTTCCCCTGGTGCTGTCGTGTGTGTGCCCAGAGGTGGCAGGCACTGCCAACCCAGGAGTGCTTGACGAGGGTTTTGTCCCCTTGGCTGGGGCAGCCAGCAAGGCAGGGCTGGGCAGGGCTCAGGTCACAGCAAGGGCCTTTGGGGACACAAGGACTGGGCTCACTTGCTGTGGGCAACATGTCAGTTGGGACCCAGGGGGCTTTGTGAGACCAGCTGTCTCTCCACTTGCCAAGCTGCTTTTCTTCAGAGAGAAGCATTGCTTGTTGGAGGCCAAGCTCTGTGAGAGAGCCCAGGGCAGAGCATTGTGCAGGCTGCATTTCCTGCCACACTTCTTCCCTCCTCTTCTTTGTCAGCTGTTTGTCTCTTGAACTGGGAGATATCTGTGATGCCAAGGGTTCATGTCTTGCTGTGGCTTTCTCTTAAACTCCATAGGGAGAAATTACCTTTTTTTGTTCTATGTGGGCTTGTCAGGCTACTTTTTTAAAAAAAGCAATGTTATCTGTTTTAGGTCATATGTCTTGTTTTGTTACTTATAGGATGTATGTTTTTCTTATTTGGATGAGAATTTCTAAAAAGCAGTTGCAGGTACTGAAAATGACATTTATAACCCACACAATTCTGGCTGCAGATTCAGAGCTACTGCAAATGCAGCAGTGAGACACAGTGGGCCCATGGCCAGTTACTCTGCCCTGAGAAGTTGATTAATTCCTGTTAATGAAGATGATGTGAAGTGAATTTCCAGTAAGTTACTCAGACTTTGTTGAATGGGAGCCTGGAAAACACCCCCAGAGTTGCCCGAATCACCTGCTGGCACTGAAGCCACTGACCTGCCTTTAAAGTTCATTAGACTTCTAGATTTCCTGTACAAAGGGAGAGGTCTTTGGGAAGCAGCCTGTAGGCTGTGCTGTCATGACCCTTCTTTGTGATCTCTTGTGACCCAGCCTGCTCTGCCCCATTGTCTGCTCTCTGGCTTTTACCCTGTGCCTGGCTCATGGTAGGGCAGCAAGAATCCCCTGGAAAATGTGATACTGGAATTAAGTGCAGCTTGTGAATTCAGATCCTTCCCTGAGCACCAGTGTAAGAATCAGTGAGTAGCAAAACATGATGATTGACAGGAGCTGAAACGAGGATTGTTGCTTTTGCAGCACATTTATTTACTAATTCTTATTTCAAGCAATTCGATCAGAGTGATCTGTTTGCTAGAAGGGCATTGATATCTTCATGGCCAGTTGCAGCAGGAGCAGCTGGTATCAAAGACAAGGCCCTCCTGGCAGCTCTGGACAACGCTTACACCATTAGCACAGTTGTAGAAGTTTGCGTTGTTGGTTGGGTCAGGATAGAGACCATCAGCCTTCCCAGCACAGAAGCCACTTCCACCAGAGCCCCCAGGAGTGCCACCTGGAGCTTCAGTGATGGGAGGGTTGGGCTGAGTTGGGGACACACAGTCTGAAAGAAAAGCAGGAAGGGGCTTAATTTGGTGTTGACAATCTCCCAGCCCTTCCCTCCCTCCATACACCCCTTAGTGGTGGGGACAGGTATTAAAGTGGGCTCCCCCAAAGACTGGTGTGGCTCACACCAGGGCTTGAAACATCTAGACCCAGATCCAACCCAACATTTCACTCTTTTTGCCCTGGGGATGTGCAGTGAAGGAATCTCTCCAGGGCAATATCTATCTGTGGGTTCCACAGAGAGTCTTTATCCACCAAGGCTCCCAGAGATAAAGGACTGTGGGTCTATGAAGCCCTGCATCAGCAGTGAGCTAGGGAACCACCTGCAAGAAGCACAGGCTACTCAAGTTACTCACCATCATTTTGCAGACCAAGACCCTCCTTCAGGGCAGTGATCAGGGGATATCTACCTTCCTTGCAGAAAGTGCCAGTGAAGTCATCCATATCAAGGGCCCAAACCATGGCACCTCCAAAATTGTTCTTCTTCAGCCAGTCAACCTTTTCAGTGCCAGGGAAGAATTCAAATTAGTCCCAGGTCCTGCCACTGCAGAAGGCTGCTGCCTCACTGTTGGCTCAGCCACACATCACAGCATACCTTGATGTTGAAGCTCTTGATGTTGTCATAGCCAACCCATTCATTGCCCTTGTAGGCATAGGGGACATCCTGGGGGTCATCCCAAGCCTGGGTGGCTCCAGAGTCCAGGAATGAGCAGATCTAGGAAAAAATGGCAGAGAGGGAGAAGTCAGCAATTATCCTACAAAAAATAAAAAGGCAGCTGGAAGATTCCACAGCTGAAAAATTCCTTGCTAGCAAGTTTGGAGGGTGTTTGTGTTCTTGGGGTGCTAGCACACATACCTCGTAGTAAGCCAAGAATCCAGCCTGCCTAGTGTAAGGTCCAGCTGGCCCAGGTCCTGTTGTTGGTGCCCCCACAGCAGTGTTGGATTGGTTTTGGAGGATGAAGTTGTGTCCATAGGTTGGGAATCCAACAAGGAGCTTCTCAGCTGGGGCACCATTATTCTTCCAATAGTTCATGGCATAATCCTGTAAAAAAACCCAGCATAAATAAACTCTGTGCTAGCATCTGTAGACAGGGGAAGACTCTGTTCACTAGTGTCATGATCATCATCTGTGATACAGTCTTGGAGAATATGCTTACAACATTGAAGTAGACAAGGTCACCAGTGTCAGATGGGCCTTCATACAGAGGGCTGTTCTCCCCAGTGCGTCCATCCCAGGAGCCATGGAAGTCATAAGTCATCACATGGATGTAGTCCAAGTACCTGTGAAGAACATTGCACACATCACCTCACCTACTTAGTCACCAAGAGCTGGCTGTCCCTCTAGTGAGTAGGGACCCCACATGCAGTGAGGCTGGTCTCTTTTTCTTTACGCACAGGAAGGAAGACCTCCGAAGTCACAGAAATGACACCTGAGTGTTGGCTACTCACTTTCCAAGCTCAGCAATCTCGTAGCCAGCATCAATGGTGGGACGTCCTGCACCAACAGCAGCGGTGAGCATGAGACGGGGCCAGTTGGTCTGTTGGGCTTCTTGCTCAAAGGCTGCCACCATTTCCTGAGGGATGCCAAGACACAGGTCTCAGTGTGGATTCTCCGGGCTGAGGCTTTGCAGCCAGAGCTGTGCAGAGCAGAGAGCTTGACCAAACCCTTTCGTTTCAACCCACCTTAACCAGGACAGTGAAGAGAGTCTTGTCCTGGGGTGGGCTGCCTCTGGACCCGGGGTATTCCCAGTCAAGGTCCAGACCATCAAATTGATATTGGCGCAGGAATTTGATGACAGAATTGATGAAGGTCTGGCGGTTCTGAGGAGTGGAAACCATTGTGGAGAACCTACAGAAGCAGAGTAGGAGAGAGTTGGGGTTTAGCTGGTGGTAGTCCCCATCCCGCTCTCCCTTTTCCATAGTGCAGTTATGGGAAGGAGATGATTTTAACTTACTTGGCTGTCCCAAAGTTCCATCCTCCAATTGCCAGGAGGGTCTTCAGTTTTCCATTCCTGAAAAGGGAGGAACAGGATTATGTCTCACTACAAGGAAAGGTTTAGTCCTAACTATTTCTAATGTTGTACAGAAAGCCAATGTAAAGCAAAGTGCCCTGGCTTTTCTTGGAAATGTCTAGTGTAGCTGCCTCTGTAGACTATGATGTCTTTGTGTGCTACCTGAAGAGCAACACCACAGCACCTTGAGTCACTGTCACCATCCTCTAGGGACCAGTGCTGTCAACCTGCCTTGCCCTCTCCATCCTTGTCTGCTTCTCCTCCCTGGCATCCCTCAACCTTGGCTTGTGCTTCCATCATGCAGAGAACAGCTGCTGAGTAACAGGAAGGGAGACCAGGGGCTGCCCTTTTCTCTCGGTACGTACTGGTTCTTCAGGCCATTGAAGGATTTGTAGAGGGTCTCGTCGTTCCATTCGTAAGTTGTGATCTCGTTGTTGTTCATGTTAGCAAAGGCGTAGATCAGGTGGTTGCACAGGAAGGGGTCAATGTTTTCAGGCATGAACTTTCCCAGGCCAGGCCTGTACTGGGCCCAGTTGGTGAAGTAACATGTCAGCACATTGGCAGTGCCTGCAGGGAAACGGGGGAGATAGAGTAGGTTTGAATTGCATTGAAGAGGTACTAGTAAATTCAGGCAGAGTATCATAACTAGGTCTGATGAGAAATGACTGGGCAGTGCTTTCCTGCAGGGTAAGGATCTCAGAGAAAGTGAAGGAGGGTTGGTTGTCCCCCAGGGAAGGGGCTCACCAAGGAAAAGAAAGGATTTCTTTCTTTCTTTCCTACTTTTTTTTCAGGAGATGAGTCAGTCTGGGAACCTCTAGCACCCTTCAACTCATGGGTGTGGGTGGTTCTGAGTCTCTTATCCAACGTCAGCCTTCCTCCTTTAAAGAGTCCCCTACACGGCCTGAGCAACAAGGGTCCCTCAAGCCACATGGCAGCAGCCTAAAGGCAGAATCACAAAACCGTTTTTCCACCTCTCCCAACAAAAGGTGACTTAAAAAGCATCTGCTCAGTCAGAGAAATGAGTTGGAGTGATCTCTCCTGCTGCTCAGGCACTTCTGCCCTTCCCCTCATACAAGTGGTGACTCAAAAGTGTCAGCAGGAGTATTCTGCTTTTAAACAAGAGGGAAAATGCCTCAGATACTCCCTGGAAAAGAAACCATGGAGCAATAAAGGCTTTGTGGAAGGAGCAAGAGCATCCCAGTGTTTCTTTCTAGACAAGACACACACATGTCAAAGCAGCAGAGCTCTGGCTCTGCACGGGTCTGTAAACTTTTGGCAGATTTTAGTCCTCAAATAGATTTATCCTGAATATTTTTTTCAGAAAGAAAGTCCTTTTGAGGAGCAGACAGTGATGGAAATGCAGCAGGGCTTTAGGTGCTTTGGACTGTCATACACAGGCAAACATTGAGCAGTCCCAAACCAACCAGACCTTTAAAGAAAAAAGTTAATGAACAAAAGTTTTAGTGTTTGTACTTAGAAGTACAAAGGTCTTGTGCAGGACTGCACTGAACCCAGGATAAACTTATCTCAGGATCACTGTGCTTTATTAAAACCATTCAAGAATCTGTGTATTCTCAAGTTTGGGTCAGCTGATTGTGTATCTGGAACTGGGCAGCATTCACCAAATTATTGCAGGTTAAAATACAGCAAAGACACTGAACAACTGATCCTTCTGAATGTAACTGCTCTATCTTTTCCTTTAGGAGAAAAGACAGTGCAACATATCTAATCCCCAGGAACCCCCTGCATAAGCACCCAGTATAGCAGTGAAAGAGCCACAAACACTCTGTAAAGGCAGAGAACTACGTTTTGAAGCAGGACTTACCAGTCAGCAGAGTGAGCTTGGCCATCTTTGACCAGGACTGGTCTGGTGCAGCCCATCTCCCCCCCTTATATGCTCCTCTTGTTCCATGCCAGTCTTGGATCAACAAAGATGGATAAACATTACGAAATTTGGTAAAGATCAGTATCACAAAGCAGTGACACCAGTACAATGGGTCTTAACACTCTCAAAACTCCATCTGGAGACACCACAATGATCAGGCTGTGCCATGTTGTGGGGCTTCAAGAATAAGGACAAAAAAAGGAAAACGTTAGATGGCTTTACTGTTAGCAGTTGTGTTGACAGTGACAGGCTGTGGGTCAACACCAATGATTACACAGTCATGGGTGGCTGAAGGGTTCCCCTGGTGCTGTCGTGTGTGTGCCCAGAGGTGGCAGGCACTGCCAACCCATGGGATGCTTGACAAGGGTTTTGTCCCCTTGGCTGGGGCAGCCAGCAAGGTAGGGCTGTGCAGGGCTCAGGTCACAGCAAGGGCCTTTTGGGGACACAAGGACTGGGCTCACTTGCTGTGGGCATCATGTCTGTTGGGACCCAGGGGTCTTTGTGAGACCAGCTGTCTCTTGCGCACAGCATCGAGGTGGTGTCACTTCAGTGGAGAAGATTTCCTGGTGTCTCATAACCAAAGCAAATCAGAATCAGATGCTCCTGAGTTGTTCTCCCTCCCTTTCTTAGTAACTATTTGTCACTAAGGAAATCAGAAGTTGAGAAAAGTGCTTTAACACATTCCTTAACAATTAGTGCACGGTTGCCTTGAAGAGCCTCAGCAGCCCGATGAACAAACGTGACAATGTTTGCAAAGGTAATATTGTTCAGGGAGAAGCTCTATTTTTGGGGGGTGAAGTTTTACAAGAGAGCCCCCAGGGACAGAGCATTGTGCAGGCTGCATTTCCTTTCACACTTACTCTCTTTTCTTTTAGCTTCACTTTTTCCCAGACTGAGAGAACTCTTTGTGCCAAGTGCTCCTGTCTTGCCTTAGCTCTCTGTGAAGCTCCACAGAGTGAAATGACCTGAGTGTCTTTATTCTAGATGAGCTTGTCAGCAGTTGTTGCCAAATGCTGTTTTGTTTTTTTAAAGCCGTGTATCTATTTTAGCTTAAGTGTCTCACTTGGATGCTTTTGGGATGCAGTGTCTTTCTTCTAAGAACACCTGAATGGGATTTTTCAAAGGGCAGTTGCAGGTGCTGAAAAGGTTTTCTTTTTTAATCTCAAAATATACTTCCTTCATCTTTGTTTCACCTTCAGTCCAGGTGGACACTCCATGCTATTGCTGTTCTTGAAGAGGTATGTGGCTTCCTTCCTTTCCCACACCAGGCACTGTCAGGACTACTTCAAATGTTGGAATAAGACACACTGGACACATGATCAGTTTCTCTGCCCTGCTATGTTGCTTAATTCCTGTCAAGATTATGGAAAGGTGAATTTCCAGTAGGTCACCCAGACTTTGTTGAGTGAGAGTCTGGAAAACACTCTCCAAGTTGCCTGTGTCACCTACTGGTACTGCAGTCAGTGACCTGGTGATTAAAATGCACTAGAGTGACCCTTCAGGTCTGGTGCCTGCAGTGGCTGAGATATGGCAGGTATAAAATCAGGCAGCCATCTTCAAGGAGTATTTTTCCACCTCTTTCTTGGTTGATAAGGAACCAATACAAACTTAAGAGGAATGGATTTGGAAAATCCCACCCTCAGTGACCTCTGGAGCCATGCAGGTTATCAGTAGAAGTATGTTTTGGTGTGAAAATGAAGGTATTTGGGGAAGAATCAAGGACACTACTTTGTCTGTGGTGGGAACAAATGCCAGTTGGTCAAATCCTGGAGTTTTTCTTCAGTTTTTCAGTCTTCTTTCTGTCATAAGAAAGGTTGTTTGCCATTGGTTCTTGTGGGAGTGGCAGTAGTCCTTAAGTAAGGGTGGAAGAACTGGTCCTTGCTGGAAAGATTCAAGTTAAAAACAGAGCTGAGGATGCACTGCATTGCACAATGTTCCTGTGGCTGAAGCACTGGGTTTGAGAGAAGTCCACCAACCTGAATTGTTTCTGCTTTAGCTCCACTCCAAGCACTGATTAAAATTGTCATTATGCTGATTCTGTGACCATGTTCAGAATGAGTCCATCCGCCCTTCAGCTGCCAGGGCTCTTTTCTGGTGGGTCACGTGGACCTACTGGACGGTTCCTTCAGCTTTCTCATCTTTTCAGGTCAAGAGTTTTGTCAGAGTCAGGCATGGAGCGTACACAGCCTTGCACCCCTCTCCCGTGAGATGTGTCTGCCAACTGACTCCCACCAAACTCTCTACAAACTGCTCTTTTCCCCAAAGCCCTTCACCACCCAGCCTTGCTAACCTGGGTGGGCAGGAGCCACTGCTTAGGGACATTGACTTGTCCTCCGTACCCTTGCTCTGCAGGTGAGGCAGGTCACTGTGGAAGGCTGAGCTGGGAGGAAATGGGAAGGTCAGTGCAATGGCCCTGTGTGTTTGGAGAGCCCTGTCCTGACCCTTCTGTGAATGCAGAGGTCTGGGCAGGGTCCTCCTGGTACAGGGAGATTGGAGCTGAGAGCAGAGACAGGGATTTGTGCCAATGGCAGCACAAGGACAGCCCAGGGGCAGGTTGGCAACCAGAGAGGTGGATGGGGTGGATGTGCCCTTGGCCTGCTCCGTGTGTTGGCAAGATCCAGCTTTGGATTTGCACGTGGATCCAGACTGCAGAGATGCTCTTGAGCTGCTAGAAATGCAGTTTGGATTTGTTTTGTGGAGCTGAGCAGCTCTGTGATTGTGCCAGTGAAATCCTGGGAGAGCTTGGGCTCTGCTTTGGGCTGCTGATGGGATGTTCCTCCCTGCAGGCAGACAACTTAACTACTGCCATGGAGACAATCTGTTGCCAGTTTGGTTTTAGTTATTGTGGAGGGTTGTTCCTGGGAATTCCTTGGGAGTTTTCCAATGGGAATGTCCCTCAAGTATGTCTGTGTCCACATGTATGTGAGCAGCCTGTGTTGCCAGAGCTCATACGATCAGTCCTGCAGCCCTGGGCTTTGCCCTGGGATTCCCCTGCTGCGATGGGATGTTTGTGGAGATGCAGGACTAGCCCACAATTTGGGACTGGTCCGTGTTTGCCTGTGTATGACAGTCCCAAGCACCAAAAGCCCTGCTGCTTTTCCATCTCTCCCTGCTCCTCAAACAGAGTCTGTTTCTGAAAACATGGTTCAGGACCAATAAAGGGTGAGGAGAAAAAACTGGAGTAGCTGATGTGTGCAGGTGATGAGAGACTCTTGAGTGACTTGTCTGCAGTGTCCCTGTTTTCAGGAGCTGTACAGAGGCTGAGCATGCTGAGGGGCACTGGAGGCTGATGCTCACCCTTCAGCATGTGCCCCCAGGGCTGCTGTGTTATTTCACTTCTGCTTCTCAGTGGGGTCTGAAGTGATGTGTGGGGCAGGAGTGCTGTGCATGAATGAACTGCTCCCCCAGCACGTGTGATTGAAACTGAGAGTCTCTGGTGAGAACTGCCTTACAAACCCATGCAATGCCAGAGCTCTGCTACTTTGACATGTGCATGTCTTGTCTAGTAAGAAACACTGGGATGCTCTTGCTCCTTCCACAAAGCCTTTATTGTGTGGCTTGAGGGATCCTTGTTGCTCAGGCCGTGTAGGGAACTCTTGGGGCTCTAGGCCACACCAGGAGTCTCCAAGTGAATTGGTATGTGCCCAGGGAGAGCAGTCCGGCAGGTGGGAGTAACT